TTTGGAACGCTTTATTTATAGGAAACCAGATATTTAAAGATAATAAAAAGACACATTTTTTACTCACTGTCTGAAGTTACGTTACCCCGAACAGAATTACCAAAATTATTTTTCAAAGAAAACTTTGCCAGAACATTTATTGGAGATTTTTATTGTAACTTTTTCTGACCAATCAGGTGTAAGAAAGTTGTATCCAAAGAAATCACATCTTATTTTCATAGACTGGTGCTTTATATCTGTACTCAATACTCAATGAGTCTAATGTCATTTTTTTCACCAAATGTTATTTTGTTCAGGTGCAGCTGGAGCTCGTTTCCACAGCAACCGAGCCTGACATGACCACACCAATGTTGAAGCCTTCTTCGTATGAGTCCCAACACACCCAGCGTCAGCAGAGTCTGATCCACCTCAGCAAACACAGCCGCTGCTCTCTCGGCAACAACAGCCACCACGGCTCGTCCCTCGGGAACCTGACGCCTCGCAGCAGGGACTACCGGCAGTCTGCAGAGACCTTCCAGCTGAAGGCGCCCCTGTCTTGCGGGGCAGACCGGGGCTACCGTCAGTCGTACACCTCCGTCTGCTCGTCCAGCAACCAGATTTCAGACGCGCTCTCGTCGTCCAATCACGGCCAGGTGTCTGCTACCCAGCTGAGCAGCGTCGGCATTATTGACTGCATCTCTCCGTCTTCTCCGCCTCACTCCCCCTGCAGGGCGGAAGGAGGGGAGTGCAGGGCACCCGACCACCTGCTGTCCCGCTCTGTAGACCACCTGGAGCGACCCAACCCTCAGTTGCTCTCCCGACCGGGCCAGCTGCTCTGCTGCGGCTCGGTGGACCTGCTGAGTGCGGGAGAGGGCTACTCCAGAGTGCGCCCCACACTGGTGATCCCCGCACATTACATGCGCCTCCCTGGTGAACACCCGCTGTCTGGTCAGGCACTCCTGTTGCAGACCGACCAGCAAAGTGACTTGGAAACTATCCAGGCTGAGCTCAATGCCTCCCATTCCCAGCAGCCCCTGGGGCCCAGCCCGTCCGACAACGCCCCGGACCCCAACAAGCAGGGCGAGGCGGAGGCTCTCGGCCTGTCGGAGTCTCTGTCCATCCCCACTGCTCTTGGGGAAACGGCTCTTGTTGAAATAAACAAAGAGGATACCTTGTTGGCTGAAAAGACTTTAATGGAGCTGAGAGGAGGAAAACCTCTGCCTCACCCCCGGGCTTGGTTTGTGTCTCTGGACGGACGCTCCAACGCTCACATCCGCCACTCGTACATCGACCTCCAGCGGGCGGGCTGTCAAAACAGTTTACAGAGCTCAGGAGATCAGCAAGATTATGACAGCAGCGGTAGGCATGGCAACGACGCCAGTCTGGACTCTGGTGTGGACCTGAATGAGCCCAGAGCGGGGCGCAGAGGGGGAGACGCAGAGCGGGAGGAGAGGGCCTCCGAGAGAAAGACTGCCACGGCTTACACCCAGCTGGTGTACGTGGATGATCTGGAGGGCGGAGGCGGCGTTGAGGAGAAACGCAGCCCAGAGGCTGAGGGCAGGAAAACCGCACCCACCCTGTCAGACAAAGCTGAGCGTAAGGGGGAGAACCAGTTATCAGGGCTTGTGGAGGGGAAAACAGTCGAGGTCGTCCAAATACTAGAGGAACCACCCTCGGTTTCCCCGGCGTCTCCTCCTCCTCTCCCCACGCCGGAGGAAATAACTTTCAGGACTGATCACGCGCTGCTGTCTGCCTCCCCAGATGATGATGCAGCACATGAGGATGGAGAGGAGGAGAAGAAAAGCCCCTGGCAGAGAAGGGAGGAGCGCCCCCTGCTGGCCTTCAACCTTAAATGAGTCACGGAGGCTGGTCAAAGGAGAGGTTTACATTTTTCTAGTCTATCCGCATGATATAATCACAAGCCATAATTTTACTAAAATCATTTCTGGAAGTTTCTCTGTGTCCAAATCTTTATGCAAAGTGACTTCAGTGTAACAGCCCAGTTTTAAAATTCACTTTAAACTCATTACAGGTGCATCTCAATAAATTAGAATATTGTTTAATACTTGTAGAGATACATTATTTTATATTTAAAGTGTTTATTTCTACTCATTTTCATGACTGTTGGGACAATTTAGCTGCCTCCAATATATTATGAGCCATACAATTACATTTTATTATTAAACATGACTTTTTACTAGTCTGAGAAGCTGAATTTTTGGTTTTTATTTACTGTAAGCCATTATCAATCAAATTCTCAAACAAACACTTGAAAAATGTCACTCAGTGTAATGAAATAAACTTAATGATATTCTAATTTATTGAGGTAGACCTGTACTTAATGTTCAGATGCACATAAAAGGGAGGGTTTTACACTAAAAACATGCTGGATTTTGAAGATGAACTTGTGATTTCTTTGAATTTTACGCTATGATGATTTTACATAGAGAATTTATATGCAATCATCTTGAACAGGATGAAAAATGCAAGAAAACAAACATGAAACTGTTTTATCAACAAACAAAAATGTAAACCTCCCCACTGCCAGTGCTCCTCTACTGCTTCAATAAGACCATGAAGGATAAATGCTTTTAAATTCACACCTTTTGCTCTTATGAAAGCACTGAGAACACATTTCAGCACTGGGATCTCTTCTAAGTCCAGAACTGAACAATTCAGGTGCCTCTAGGAACAGATACCAGACAACCACTGAGTGGCTGACAAACAGACTTTGGAGCCAAGATATTGGGAGATTTTATGCACAACAAATATATGCCTTTTTTATATAAGGAGCCTTGTAGGTGTAAATGGACTGTGGTGGAAATAATTGATGACTTGATCGCTGAAGCCGTTTTTTCTTGAGCCATATTGGCAAAATCCCAGGAAGTACCCATTTAAAGTGAGAGTAAAACCCCAGCTAAACCACTGGTGACTGGTTTTGATGGCTTTGGAGCACATGTGCACTACAGGACATGTAACTGTACAGTTTAGTAGGAATTTGTAGACTCTGCTTTGAGTCCTACTGCAGAGTCTACAATGTACACATGTGAATACAAACATGTGAACCCTGTACTTTAAATGGTTTTCAGTATGGCGGCTGTTCGTGTCAACTTTAAGGTCTGATCACATTAAATGACTACATGCTCCTTAGCCAAATCAGATAATGTGACACCAGTTTGCTGGCAATGTTAAATCACCACTATAAAAAAAGTAGTTTCACTCTTTATAATTGTGAAATTGATCTTATGAAGGTTGTTTTATATTTGCTGAACCACTGATTTGCATATTTTTGTTTTTAAGGCTATGCATCACTTTTATATGTCAGATGCTTTTTTTTTGTAAATGTTAACCTCTATGATTTTAAATGCCAACATGAAGTATTTTACCTGAAAATGGGCAGTTTTTTTCTTTCTAGTAACATTAAGGGCTTTTTCTTCTTACCTGGCTTACTGTTGGAGCTGAAACAAATGCTGCGTAATATTTTGCCAACTAACTCTGCTGCGTTTTAGCTTTTTTTTTTTTCTCATTATACACATAATCCAAGTGCCTTTGAACAACCTGATTCTGCAACTTTATTTATTTGTACCTTTGCTTTGCCTTTAGCTTTCCTCCTCTACCTCAGCGCTCTCTCTTTCCCTTGTGAAGGGAAGCATGCATTGTGCTTTCCTCAGCACGCAGATATTACTACAGCTACACTGCAGACATTTCAGAAAATGTCTACCAGCTGCTGCAATCCTAAAAGCCTTTACAGTAATCAGCAAGGCGTTCCATGAGAGTAAGTAGATTTTTCAGGAAAGATGAAGCTAAGCGTGATTGTACCTGAAGCTACTCTGTCCTTTGGTTTTTAGGAGAGTGAATGTTTTTTTCAGTGTGTTTTTTTTTTTTATTATTATTATTTGAACACATGGTAGTGTCCATTTGTGATGCTTCTGAGTCTGACTATTAAATCATCAATCCAACCAAGATTTGTGCACCCAAGGTAATCATGTTACAGAGTGTGTATCATTGTGTTCTTACCTCTGCTCTGTCAAAATCATTTGTGAGTTGGTGTAACGAATGAGGTTTTCTTTCACAGTGTCCCACAACACAAATACAACGCGGCAATACAGAATACTGAGGGTGTAAATCAATTGGTTGCATTATATTTTAAGCCTGTTATTCTGAATAAACAACCAAGCTGGAATTATTTGCGGCGTAAGAACTCTTATTTATGGTTTACCACAAGCCATGTAGGGGATGCATCAAACATGGACTGAGATGAGAGAGAAATTGTATTTTTTTGGTCTACATACATTATGCAACATCTGAAGTAAAACTAACACTGCACATCATAATCAATAAGTCATCCAGCAGACAGACATATTTTTGAGTAAAAAAAATGTTTAAAGTTGATAAGCAATTTGAAAATATCTCTTGATAGTTATGTGTTATTGGAAGACTGGAAGATTAATACCTACCAACACCAACGATTAAAATAAATAAACAATGGCTGTTGGCACAAGTAAAGCCTGGTGGGCCCCCCCAGGCTTACAATACACTGTGGGAAACCTTGACATGTGAAAACGGTTATAATAATTCAAAAAGAGTCCCAGGCTCTACTTCATCCTTTTGGTTCAGTATTTCTCCATACAACATAGAACAAGGCAATAATTTATTTTTATGTTCCCCACAGCCAGCCAGTTCGTGTGTTTTTCAGAAGGTATTGATTGTTCAGCAGGCTTTCTGTAGGGCTTAAAACATTGGTATCAGACTGCTTACTTGCTAATTTTCAGTAATTATCATGTGTTGTCTTATATTAAACAATTAAATATTGTTTGGTTTTTCTTTTTCATTTTTTCGTATTGTGTCCTCATATGTCATTAAAGCGAACCAACAAAAAAACATTGACCTCTGCTCCCCCTGGTAAATTTGGTCTGTGTGTATATGGGTTTTGATAAATGTCAGTTCCACCTCCCTTATCCTCTAGGGGGTGCTATTTCCCTCCCCATACTTTCTTTGTTTTTATTTTTTTTCCCCCCATCTCTCGCCTCCTGTCAGTGAGCCTCTAAAAAAACCGCTAGCTGGCAGTTTTTTAAGCATCTTGATGATGGCGGAGGACAGTGAGTCCGCGGCAAGCCAGCAGAGCCTGGAGCTGGACGACCAGGATACGTGCGGGATAGACGGAGACAACGAAGAGGAGAATGAGCATATGCAGGGGTGAGGGCGGCCTGTCCCGTCGGGTGCGGGGGGAGAAACGCTCTAACGTTATTGCGAACAGCCTGTTTATATGTGTGAGGCTAGCGCAGCTAGCTAGTCAATGTTAGCTGGCACAAACACAACCAAGCGACAAACAGGCAATTGTTTAGAGATTTTTTATTTATTTTTTAGTTTAACTTGTTTTATATCGCTAGAATATGTGACCTTATTTGGTATTTTAGCCGCCTGGATGACATGACAGCCATTAGAGCGAACCGTTAGTTGGCTAACAGCAAGTAGCTCAGCTGTCAGTGGCTGCTGTAGCTCAGGTTAGCTTTGTGTGTGTGTGTGTCCAGCAGAGTCAGTTGGTCATTTTTTTGTCCCGCGTGTTGTGTATCTGTGCAGCAGTCCGGGCGGAGAGCTGGGGGCGAAGCGGAAGAAGAAGAAGCAGAAAAGGAAAAAAGAGAAGCCCAGCTCGGGCTCTGGAGCCAAATCTGACTCTGCTTCTGACTCTCAGGAAATCAAGGTCTGTTGAGAATGATGAGCTGAACGACTGCACCATATTAGTTATGTAAAAGAAAAAAGAACAAACTTTTCATACCTTTTGAATATTTTTTTCCCTATCAATGTCTTTTATTTTGATTTTATATGACATACCAACACAAAGTATAATTGAAAAGTTATAAAGACCTTTTGAGCATTTTTAATAATTGATTTTCTGACTGAAATTGCAAATAATGTTGAGTGCATTCATATTCATCTTTCTTTACTCTCATTCCGCCACATAAAGGCAACTTGTTGCCTTCAGAAGTCGCCTTAGTTGTGTTAAGAATCCACCTTTGTGCAGTTTGAACTCCATCTTTCCATCACGTCACACCAGCTGTTTCTGCTCCTGAGGAGGACATCCATCCCCCACACCATGATGTGGTTGGGAGATAACATTCTTTTTCTTAGCCCACATTGCAATTTGCACAAAAAAGTTTTGGATGCTTCATATTTCTTTCCTCATCCTTTCTATCAGTTTAGGTTGTGCTGTATTCTTTCCATTTTGTGGTGATGTATTGAACAGTGTTATTTTTTTTTAAACTTTATGGCACTTTACTTGTTTTGATTATATAACTTGTGAAGCAAATTACTTGCCCTGAACTTTACTGGTACACTACTTTGAAGTATGCGGTTGTAAAGTGAAGAAATGTGACAAATTTCAAAGCGTAAATACTTCTGTAACGCTACAACTTCAGGATATACAGTTGTTTGCATACTCAACTCCTACTTATTCTATAAACTAGACTTGAGTCCAGAAAGCCAAATTAACTTGATAAAAGCAGTCAAACCATCACACATTGTGCAGGAAAAAAATGACCTGACCAACGCAGCTTAACGGGTTACATAATGTCATTTTTATGCTTTCAGAACCCTGGCTTGCCCATTCAGAAGCTCCAGGACATCCAAAGAGCCATGGAACTGCTGTCCTGCCAGGGTCCAACAAAGAGTATCGATGAGGCAACCAAGCACAAATACCAGTTCTGGGACACCCAGCCTGTCCCAAAGTTAAGTAAGTTTCAAATGAAGTCAGCAAATACATTTACAATCAATGGCTGCTGTGCTGCAGTAAACGCTGTTTTGTTTAGCAACTGTTTACGAAGGACATTCATTTTCTAACTAATGACTTTTATTTTATCTGAGTTGCTCAGGGTGCAGTGCTGCAGAAGAGTGTTAGCTATACTGCACGTCCAAGCTTTTCCCTTGTGAGTCATTATATTAAGCAGTTTCCATCCCAACTCTTGCCCATCTCTGAGCAGGGCTCATGTTATGGGGACACCCGGTCACCTTAGGACCAACACAAGCAGGATTTAACCACTCAGCTCTTCTGCACTCTTTAAAATAAAGTTTTAAATATAGAAAATGTTCTCCTTCTTCTTGTGTTGTTTGGAAAATAATGCGCCACTGAGAGAGAGATGTGCTATTTTTGTAGATGAAGTCGTGACAAGCCACGGTCCAATTGAAGCTGACAAAGAAAACATCAGACAGGAGCCATATTCTTTACCTCAAGGCTTTATGTGGGACACTTTGGATCTTAGTAATGCAGATGTAGTAAGTGGGATGCTTGTATTGGGGTGGAAGAAACTAATGAGGTCACTAATAATGATCTAATTCAAGGTGTCTTTCTGGTTGTAGTTGAAAGAGTTGTACACGTTGTTAAATGAAAACTATGTGGAGGATGATGACAACATGTTCAGATTTGATTATTCACCAAACTTTCTCAAATGGTAAGTACCTTCTGCATTTGATTACAGTGCTGCTGAGAAGTTTACATGCACTCATCGTGTGAATAAATATCATAATGTTATGTATATGAACCATTGTGTAGTCCTTAAGAACTTGGTGTGAAAATGTGACTTTATTCAGATTTTCTCAAATCTTTGCAGGGATAAATTGTACATTCTGAGTCAAAAATATACATATAGCTTCACTAATATTAGGACGACTCTCTTTTAGTACGTATCAGAGACCCCACAGCCTTTTTGTAGACATCAACAAGGTTCTGTTACATTTTTGTGTGGCTATTTAACCACCATTATTGACATAATTGGTGTACTTGATTAAAATTGACTGGCTTGCTGGCACAAACTATCTTTTATGCTCAAACGACACATTTTCAGTACGGGTTAAGATTAGGACCATTTCAGAAGCTTAATGTTCGAAGAATAGAAATACACTTTATTGTTCTTAGTTTGCTTTTAGTGCTACAAAACCAATTCTGTGTCGTTTCCATTTGCATGATTGTTTTTCTTATGTCTCTCTTCTCTTGTTCAGCTAATCAAAGACTGAATGTCAAATTCCGTCTTTGATTCCAGTGAAAAATGTTTGTTAGGAATAAAAGTTTATTGATATTTGTGTACTTGTGTTATTATACGATTAACATATTTCTTGAAAATGGTCTCAAAACAACACTATTGCTTTCCTCTGTTACTTCTGGGACAATTTATCTTCCAGAAATCTTAACAACTTGTTGTGAAACAGTCGAACCCTCAGTATGATGCTACCTCCACCGTGCCTGTTCTTAGGTTTGGAATCCTCCAAAAACATGCTTGATGTCATGGCCAAAAAGTTACTTCTTATCTGAGAAATGTACCAAAGCGACTGAGAAAAAACTGAACAAAAAGACTGATCAAAGGGTTTGGGATATTTTTGAGCTTGTTTGGTTGAAATAAAATACACGGTAATCACTGAAGTTTTCTGCTGTGTAATTGTTCCATGCTGAAACAATAAAAAGTTCAAGTGAATCTTTAAAAGCTCCAAATTAACAACATATCATTTTTCATGACGAGTCAGTGTAATCTTCTCATAAGCCTTTTTGCTTTTACTTTATTATCCACTTGCTGAACATGTCGCTGTCCCTCAGGGCTCTGCGTCCACCTGGTTGGTTACCGCAGTGGCACTGTGGAGTACGAGTGTCCTCAAATAAGAAGCTTGTTGGGTTCATCAGTGCCATCCCTGCAGATATACGCGTCTATGACACGTGAGCTCATCTAACCGGGCCTATAGGTTCTGCAGCAACTCGGGCAGTGATTCAACCCTCGTCTTCCCTTGTTGGTGCAGGACAAAGAAGATGGTAGAAATCAACTTCCTTTGTGTTCATAAGAAGCTGCGTTCGAAGCGTGTCGCTCCTGTGCTGATCCGAGAGATAACGCGGAGGGTGAACCTGGAGGGAATATTCCAGGCGGTGTACACAGCTGGAGTTGTGCTCCCTAAACCCGTGTCTACATGCAGGTATGACGAACCGTGCTCGATGTAGAACATGGTGGCACGGCATCTTCCCATTTCACTACCCTGTTCTTTTCTTTTTTTCAGGTACTGGCATCGTTCGTTGAACCCGAGGAAACTGGTGGAAGTGAAATTTTCCCATCTTAGCAGAAACATGACGTTGCAAAGAACCATGAAGCTCTACAGGCTACCAGATGTAAATAATTCCACTGATCTCACTTTTTTTCTTCTAGTAAGAGAAAATAAACAACCGTTTTTGCTCCTTTGTGGCATAAAGATCACTAAGACTCGAGGCCTGCGGCTGATGGAGAGACGTGACCTCCACCAGGTCACTGAGCTGCTGCAGAAATACCTGAGACGTTTCCACCTCGCACCGTCCATGGGAGAAGAAGAAGTTGCTCACTGGTTCTTACCGCAGGAAAACATAATTGACACTTATGTTGTAGAGGTCTGTGCATCTACTTCCTGTCCTCAAGCTAACAACTCTTTGTTGCTGTTCTTATGAAATGACGTGCTGTTCTCTCTTTCAGACTGCAGGGGGCGAACTGACAGACTTTACTAGTTTCTACACATTACCCTCAACTGTGATGCATCACCCTCTACATAGGAGCCTGAAGGCAGCTTACTCATTCTACAGTGTTCATACTGTAACGCCACTACTGGACTTAATGAATGATGCACTGATCCTGGCAAAAATGGTAACGAGCTACTTCCTACCAAAAACCTCAGTTCCAGCAGTTTTTCTCTCTTAAAGCAGTCAACTGTTTGTGGTTTAGATCGTTTGTCGTCACCAAATCATTCCTTTTAATTGATCTGAGTAAAGAAAGGCAGAGAATATTTTCTGAAAGTGAACGTGACGTCGCTTTTTAAACAGCGTATGCAACATATCTGAACTGCATGTAATTAAATGTAGAAACCAAAGACTCGTCATCTCAGTGTTTGTTGTGTGTGTGTTTGACAGAAAGGTTTTGACGTTTTCAATGCCTTGGATCTGATGGAGAACAAGGTGTTTCTGGAGAAGCTGAAGTTCGGCATAGGAGATGGAAATCTGCAGTATTACCTCTACAATTGGAAATGTCCCCCTATGGATCCTGATAAGGTCAGCAGCATCTCACCGCAACACCTTTTGCATCTCATCATTTTAATTTGAGGATATTTTGGTCTCTGTGTTGTCAGAAAACATGTTTCAGTACTTGAACAATGTGAATGGAACATTGAACAGGGTTCCTATAGATACCTCAAAAGTATAGCATTTAATTTCTATATCTGGGATAAGAATGCAAAAAGCAAATAAGAGTAGAATAATAAATATTTGTACTTTCATGATTTATTTTCTCCCTCACCGCCAATATGTCCTAGTTGTTCTTTTGTGTGTCTTCCATTTATTCTTTCGCTAGATTTCCTGTCTTTCCCAGTTCTTCTTTCCTTCTGTCTTCCCCTTTTTGTGCTTCGTCTTTCCTTGTGTCCTATATCTTCTTTTCCTGTCTGCTTTATTTTTCTTCGTTGTCTTTGTTTCTTGCTTCCTTCCTTCAGACTGCAGCGTGTAGGATTGGCTTACTCAGACTCATTGTGAACTTTAGCATTTTATGCTATAAACTGAACACAGAAACTAAAACTGATGATGCACACTATCATGAACTGTTCCACAAGGATGATCCATTGAATCTCTGAAAACAACTCAAGTTTTTGCAAAGTTTTAAGGCCGACTTTATCAAGAGTTCCATTGTATTTATTGACGTCGGATCTTTTCAGTGTTGATTAGTAAATGTAGGGTTAGAGCTCATCTAACAATCTGCTGGCGCTCGTGTTTCAGGTCGGTCTCGTCCTCCAATAGCGGCTCGTTTTCACTGCTGCTCCACAAACGGGCGTCGTTAATGTTGGCTTCTGGATTCTCCTCACTTGGACCTGCGGGTCGCCCGAGCTCGACAGCGACATCTTCCACAAGTCAACCAACCTCATGACCGGGCGGTGGTCTCATTAAGAACTCCCGCAGGCAACCCGGAGGCGAAAGCTCCTCAATCATCATCCTGAATGTGAAGTCATGCTATGCCTGAGATATCCTTACAGTTACAGTGCTGTTGACATGCGCTCCCGCTCCCAAAACACGACGCTCGGACGTTTCAGAGGATGCCTTGGCATTGTGAATTTTGTTTCTATTTCTTCATTCTCTACAGACATTGTCAGCAGGGGGCTTGTATGAAATACCTGTTCATATACCTATGTAAATGATGATCAACGAGGCAGTTACCTTTCTACATGTTTATCCTGTCCGGTCCTCCATCGTGCCGCTGCGCCATGTATTGACTCTGTTTTCATATCACTGTGGTCAGTCATGTGGCGGTTTTAGGCCTATCTAGGATTAGAAACGGTCAGAAAAAGTGTTTCGGACTCCTACCGAAACACTTTTTCTTCAGTACACGTATGTAACTAAGGAAATCTCGTACAAGACAACACAAGAACGGTAACGCGTAGTTTACATTGAAAACAAAACCACATTTATTCCTGTAGTTCGAGTTGCAGGTTTGTGAGGGCTGATCTAAAACCTTCTTCTTCTTAAGTTGTGTGGAAGTCGGTGGCTTTTTAATGACGAATGTACAGCATCGATGAAGCACAATTTTACAAACAAGTCAAATGGTTCGCTTATAAAGATCTTAGACGTTTGGTTTTGACAAATGGTGGGACCTGTTTTCCGTTATAAAGCTGACTTTTTGTCATTTTAACATTAAACCCATACATGTGGTAGCATTTACTGTTGCACTCCATCACTGCTGTTTTTGGTACACTTTCCAGTTAGCAGAAGCTCTAAAAGGCAATATGTTTCATTTTGATTGGGAGTTTTGTTCAAATTAAATTGATTATTGGCTTCAAAATGGAGCAGTCAAGCAACCGCGGTCTGTTGTTTTTAGTTTAGCCATTGCCACTTGCAAAAAAACTTGACAGAGAAATTCTCTGGTACAGATAAGCTACTATAAAGTGGCCACTGGTTCTGATGTGCAATATATATCAATATGTCAAAACTTTTAAAGCCAACCACTGGATGACCTGAACCTGGGTTATGAAATCAAACTTTAATGAATCAAGAAGTCGAAGGAAACATTTGATACATTTCCGTAAGTTCATCACACATTTTGTCTTGGCTTTCTGAAAACCTTTTTCTTTTCTTTAAGACATTAAAATATGTAGTGGGTCATTTTGTTTTAGTGTGATGTGCAGCTAGATGTATAGAAGTTGTTATATTTGTTAATGTAAAACATCAACTCTCTCTTCTCCCCGTATGTTTTTGAGGGTATTTAGCAGCTGAGCAAAGTCTTTGACCAACCACTTGTTTTAAGGTGGCGTCTCTGTTTTTGTTTTACCTTCTTTTTGGTGGTTTAATGTTTGTGACTCTGCAAAATGTAAGACAAACAGGCAGCATCTGCTTTTTTTTTTGTTTGTTATGATTTTTATTCTATTTTTAATTGCTCATTTTGTATTTGTTTTTCTCACATTCCATAAAGATTGGCCAGAACGGGACACAATCATTGGTCAGTAAAAGCTCTTGAGTCCACCTCACAAGGAGATGCTACAGTCATTCATTTCACTCTGAAAACCGGTTTCTGCATCGGCGGCGTGCCTCGTGTTGCCTGCAGCGGCTCGGATGAACTCTGTCGGTTCTGCTCCCATGTTGACTCCAGCATTGATGGTTTACAGCCACAAGCTTCAGTGGCTGAGACAACCGCCTTGTTTTTATTTTCTTTTTTTCCTTTAGGAGATCTGCAAGGTCGGGCGATGAGTGTATGTCCGAGTTAACATCCAGTCACACTGAAGAACAATGTTTTTAATTTAGAACCATTGTAAACTGTGAAAAAGCTGAAGAACCTGTACCAGCATCATTTAGGCATAAACCCAGTGCAAATACCAGTCTGTTACAACACATCAGCTATACCAGCATGGATATTTGATTGAATAAACTCTTAAATTTTAAAAAGGTACGTGGCTCAGATGGCGTTTCTTTTTTCGGTCAATGCTGAGATTTATTTTAACGATGTCCTCCAGTTAGATGTTTTTTTGTTTTGTTTTTTTTTTAAAGTTTTGATTTCCACTGAAGAAATCAACTAAATGTTTTCAGAAACGTAAAGGAACAACATGCTAACTCTGTTTTGTGTATAATCAGCTGGTGTTCGCATTTATTGGCAGATTGGCACATTCTGACACCTGCGAGTTGCATTTAAGTTGCAACGTGTTCATTATGTGTTAGAGACATATTATTATAGCTTTAAAAACTACATACTACAGAACAAACATGAAAGTCTTGGTGACAAATTCACTATAAAGTAAGTTTGATTTTTATAGAAACAGTTGGATTGCAGATTAAAAACACCATGTGGATATCTGGTTCTAACAGCATATTTAAAGTTAAATAATGACTATTGCATAACTAAGTACTTTATCATTCATATATATATTCATAAACATACTTTTATGAATTCTTAAGATCACAACTTGCTCCTTTGAAATTTTTGAGATTTCACATATTTCAACTCATGCAAGAAAACTTAGAAATAAAACACAAAGCATCCGGTCTTAACTTGAACAGAATGGTCTTTTATTAGATTTTGCAGAACAGCTTTTAAGCATTATAAATAAGGTTCATGAAAGAAGAAATACCACAACGACGCAGCTGAAAACTAATGTTTTATCACAAAACAGTAAAAAGATCAATTAATTGAAAGCTAAACTTTCATCAAAACTGATACGATTGAAGCTGTTATGATGGCTGGAACCTCAAGTTCCACCAATATGCAAATAAAATAAAACGAGAAGAAACATGTGAAGATCTTTCATTTCTGTTTCTGCAGTTTTATTTTTCTTTTCTTATCGGGGTTTGGAACAATTCTCTTTACTTTCAGAGGCAGCAGAGTGCAAGACAAGGCAGAGTCTGTGATTTCAGGTTCAAGCTCCAGTTTCCGTTTTTGTGCTCTTGTCCCACCTTCCTCCTCCTTCCCCTGCTCCTCTTTCTCCTCTTCCTCCTCCAGGTCAGCCGTGAGATCAGCTGGCACTGCAGCTGCTTCATGTGTCAGCCAATCAACTTCCAGTGAGGGCACTCTGGGTGTAATGGCATCCACCGTGTCTCTGAACATCTCCTCGTCTTCAGACGAACACCGTCTGAACCCCAGAGCGAGGACGCTTTTGAGCCCCAGCAGCTCCGCCACGCTATCGCTCAGGCGGGGCACCTGGCAGGCCGGCACGAATCTGGTCGCGCTGAGAGCGATCAGGTGGTCCGTCATGAGCTGCGGTCTGACGGACTTACAAACAAGCAGCAGCTGCAGCTGGTTCCTCTCCAGTGCCTTGGTGACCTCGTTGATGCCGATGGCCAGCTGCCGTCTGGCCGCCGTATCTGTCCAGCCGTTTCTGGTCGGGTTGGGCCCCTGCGCCTCCTCGCTCGCCTGGGGAACAGGTTCCGCAGCAGCATCTGGTTTATTCTCCATCGTTTTCCTCCACTGGTGAGGCTTTTTCACCTCTTCCTTCTTGAGGCCTGTGGCAATTAATTTGTCCTTTAAAGTTCTCAGGATGAAATCCTTGTCTTTGGGTAAAAGTGGGCTCCATTTTGCACTGAAGGGTGACGTGAAGGAGGCCTTGCTCTGGATCTGCTTTCTGCGAGCTTTCTTAGATAGTTTTGCTGCAGGTGCCATGGCTCATCTAGATAGTAAAACAAGAAAAATCAACTTAACACAGAAACTTTTCTGTATTTTCAGCAACATTCCTCACTATGATCTTTATGTAACGCTGTCTCTGGATTCCTAAATATATTTTTTGTCTTATTTTTCAACCATTGCTGATTTGCTCCTCATTAAATCCTTTCCTCAACCTGTACAATTTTCTCTGATCCCACGACAGTAACACAAATTTGACGAATAAGCCTCTCCTGTTTAAAAATGAGTCTTCTCTTGCACCAGGAGTCATAAAACTCAAAGTTTGTGGCCATTTATGCTTTGAGGCCAGATTTATTTATCTGTTTGACTAACAGATAAATAAATCTAACAGTCATACAGAACATGTAAGAGTCAATAATTTTTTCTGTTTCTCTAATAAATAGTTTTCTGAAACTTCAACTTAAATGCCACAAACCTGAACATAAGGAAATAAAATCCAGTTTATTGTTATACTTAAAAAAAGAGCTTCATTTTCCTTTCTTGACTTTAACTGCAGTGTCAGACAGCTGTTATTGAGAAAACCATCAGTTCTTTCAGATAAAATTATTGCTCAACAATTCTGTATTAAACGTCACTTCGTTACTCATCCTGTGCAGGAACAACATATACAGTCTATCGTTATAAAAATGGCCTTTCGTCTCTTTTGGGGTTTGTTACTGCAGGCTTCAGAAGCTGTAATTCTCAGACCATTTTAAAATGGGTTTATATCGACATGTTTCTGATTTATATAAACCAATGTTACCTTTCGATGTCTTTTCACACGCTAACGATATAAAAGAAGTGCGTTACTGTTTTAAACATACCTGTGTTAATGCTGTTACGCTTAGTTTATCTGTATTCGTTTATTTTGATGTCGGATTCGTGTCTTCAGTCCTGCACGGGGCTCACAGGGCGCCACCATCTTGTTTGAATTTAAAAGTTTACCTTTAGAAACAGCGCCCACTAGCGTAGAGGAGGCAGCATAGCACTAATGATAAGACGAGATGCACTAATATTAGCATTTTCTATAAAATACTTATTTTAGCTTTTTTTTCTGAGTTCCAACCAAGTGGCACACTTTGGCACGCCCTGTTTAAGTTTCTACATAAATCTTCTAGCTGGGGGCTCCCATAGCAATGCATAGTAGAGCATTAACTTGAGAACTGCAGATAAAACCTTCAGTGTAGTGCAGGTTTTATCTGCACTGTTAACCTGTCAGGAGCTTGATAGATGGCTTGAAATTTTGATAGGCTTCATCAACATTACACTGTAAGTTAATCAGATAAACCATACAGTTTATCTAAACTGCCAAGATCAAATACACACACATGGCCATCCACACAGGCAAAATATCTAAGTAAGGAAGTGCAAGAAAAATCTCAAAGAAATTACAGGATGAAATATTCTATCCTGTTCATTTCCTAACTGCCTGATCCCTTTGGTAGTCCTTCACTGAAAATGTTGAATCGCTCTAGTCTCATCCCTCCCAATGGCAACCTGCCCTGGGAAGCCTCACTGAAGGCTGAACCTCAAGACAAAATCACATCTGGGTCACAGGGATACTCAAACCCCTCCACCACGTTAAGGTGGCGATTCTGCGGAGGGGTCACCAGCAGATCGCGATGGATGTTTAATCCAAGGGATCCCCATCCTGAGCAAGCACAAGGCAACAGTGGAGAGGAAAACTCCCTTTAAAAGGAAGAATCCTCCAGCAGAACCAGACTCAGGATGAGCAGCCATCTGCCGAGGCTGGCTGGCTTCAAGAGGGCAAAAATAAAAAAAAACACAGGCAAAAAGTAACACGATGAGACTAAACTGGAACAGAAATTCTGAAACAAGAAAACAGTTTCCACACAAGCCACCAGACACTGGCAAGGCCCAGGCTCCGACACCAGGAACTAGCAAGGCCAAGGCTTCGACACCAGGAACTAGCAAGGCCCAGGCTCCGACACCAGGAACTGCGAGGCCCAGGCTCCGACACCAGGAACTGGCGAGGAACTGGCGAGGCCCAGGCTCCGACACCAGGAACTGGCGAGGAACTGGCGAGGCCCAGGCTCGACACCAGGAACTGGCGAGGCCCAGGCTCCGACACCAGGAACTGGCGAGGAACTGGCGAGGAACTGGCGAGGCCCAGGCTCCGACACCAGCAACCGGCGAGGTCCAGGCTTTGAGGCCCAGACACTGACACCGGGAACTGGCGAGGCCCAGACACTGACACCGGGAACTGGCGAGGCCCAGACACTGACACCGGGAACTAGCGAGGCCCAGACACTGACACCGGGAACTGGAGAGGCCCAGACACTGACACCGGGAACTGGCAAGGCCCAGACACTGACACCGGGAACTGGGGAGGTCCAGGCTCCGACACCAGCCACTAGAGAGGTCTAGGCTTTGAGGCCCAGACACTGACACCGGGAACTGGGGAGGTCCAGGCTTTGAGGCCCAGACACTGGTTGCTGTGAGGACTGTGTTCACTCTTTAAATAAAAATATTTACAAAATTAATTAATTAAACATAAACAATACATATATGGAAGATATATGATGGTATCCTCTTCATGGGGCAAGTTCACCATGCACTCTAAAGTTATAGAGGCAGGTGTACTCTGGATGACCCCAGTTGCTGTTCACCTGTATGCTAACATAGGTGAAGGAGTCAGTGTTATCATCCTGTGAGCCAAGAGAAATACAAATTAGCAGGGTTAGATTAATAATCCATAGCTACAATTACACAAGACAATGTAAACAAAGGAGATCTGCTTCAAGTGCATGGAAGCCCAGTTCAACTTGCCTTGCTGTAAATATATTTTGCATAGATTTTTCAAGATACCTTGGAATTATACTAATATCTTCCTAATCAGAAAACCAAATGTTATCTAGTAAACCCTGGGTTTATTTTGATTTGTTTCTTATTGTGAGGCAATTAAGACGATTGTTTTGTGAAAACAGATTGATGTATTTTGTTGTCAAGACATAATAAAGTTGGTGTGAAGAACCTTATGGTTGTATGTAGGAAAAATGACCAATATTTATAACAGGGTAAATCACTCTGAGCTTCTGTAAGAACTGTTGTATTCGGTTAATAAAACATTAGTTTGACATATTTACAGGAAGTTTGAAGGTCTGAATCCTGTCGCCATCTTCTTTATATTGAAAACTTCCCAAGAAAGTCTCCTTTTCTTTTATATTCTTCTTTCCCTGAGACAAAATCAGATAGAAATCTAGTTCATTATCTTGTTCTTTCTATATATGTGAAAGTTAATTTGTTTATCTAAAACGTATCATATTCTGAGATAAGCAGAAAATTCCTTTGTGCAGACAGAAAGTTTGCATAAGATCAGGTGATATCGTATTGCTAACACAGTTTAAATCTCCTTTATATGTGGACATATGTGTGATACGTGTGGTGTTGCTTGACTTACATAAACAGAAAATTCCTTTGGAGCGCTAGAAACTGTGAAAGATGGGGATATCATCTTTGGAATGTGACCTACAGACACATGAGTCACAATGGCCTTGTGGGACAGTTCAACAGACAAACTTCCTGGGAAACCTGCGAATGCCCAGCATTCTCCAGGATTCAGATGAGTCCTTCCCTGAAGTCAAGAGTACAAAACAAAGTTTAGGGGGGGTACCAAGACTAAGAGAAAAGAAAATTGTAAAGCCTAATATTTATCAAAAAGAAATACGACTCTGCCTTATATTCAATTAATGTTCTGAGTGTTATTCAGACCTGAATGACAATGTTTGGGCCCAAAGGTTGTTGATTTAAAGGTATCCCAAACAATTTGCATGACCTGAAGCTCTGATATGTTTCAGTGGTGTTGTGTACACAACTCTTGCACCTGCACAAAAAACAGAAATATTGAGTTAAGAAAGCTAAATACTGAAAATTTGCAATCTGGTTTGTGATCTTATTTCTAGTCGCTCACCTTGTGACTCCAGAGCAAAGTTGGGCCAGAGATCTGCTTGCGGTAGAAGGTATTCAAACTTCTTCTTCATCTCCAGCAGATCTTGGTGGTAACTCTCTGGGAGCTTTTCCTGACACTTATCCTGAGACAGAAAGTTTTTCACAACATTACAATTAACAGCTTATTAGAATATTTAATTCAGAAATAAAGTTAGGAAGATAAAAACTACCATATCCAGTAAAGAAAGTGGAACTAGTGACTCTGAATATCTCAAGTGCAGAGCAGAAAGTAGGCAGGTACATCCTGAGGAACATGAGCAGAAGATGATAGTCAATGACATAACATAAAAAATGCAGACTTTCTACAACACTTTCAAATTGATTGTTGAGTATTTACCAAAAAAGAGCAAGATGACAACTATAATCCCAGGACGTTGCATCAGGGTGGCCATCTCCTCTTTCATATCGTCTTCCTCGTCACTCTCTCCTATCAGTCTGTTCAATGGGCGTTTCTTTCGCCTCCCACTGGCACAAGATGGAAAAATACAATTGTTTAAATATGTGCATTAATCAGTAGATGACTGTTAAACATAGAAGCTAAAAAGAAAAACAGCTTACATCATAAACCGAACTCTTGTCTCTCGGTATGATATTGTTGGTTCCCATTAAAGTCATAGTAACCATTTATTGATAAACGAAGGCTTCGTTTTGGTACAGCTGCACAAAAAGAGAAAAGACAAAGTAATGGAAGAGAGGTCGCTGACTGGCACAAAGCATCATGTATTATATCTATCTATCTATCTATCTATCTATCTATCTATCTATCTATCTATCTATCTATCTATCTATCTATCTATCTATCTATCTATCTATCTATCTATCTATCTATCTATCTATCTATCTATCTATCTATCTATCTATCTATCTATAAATATAGATAGATAGATAGATAGATAGATAGATAGATAGATAGATAGATAGATAGATAGATAGATAGATAGATAGATAGATAGATAGATAGATAGAAATATATATAGATTGATATATATTTAGAGAGAGAGAAAACTACATGCTAACATTCTCTACGTAGTTCACGTTCTCTACGTAGTTCACGTTCTCTACGTAGTTCACGTTCGCCACGTAGTTCACGTTCCCTACGTAGTTCACGTTCGCCACGTAGTTCACGTTCGCTACGTAGTTCACGTTCGCTACGTAGTTCACGTTCGCTACGTAGTTCACGTTCCCTACGTAGTTCTCTAGTCTAGATGAAAGCGGTGGATAAGCGCGTGCTTGTTATGAGCGCTGGGGGAACCGTATCTGTTGGGGAAACGCGAATCGACGTAACACCCGTTGACGTAGGTCAGATTGGCCCTGTTTGTTGTCTTGAAGCCATGGCAACCAGGTTAAACTGGAACAGATTGGTTTCCCCCACACTTGCAGAAGTTTGTGATTTTGAAGCTATTTTATGTATTTCAGTCTAATTGCAAAGGAAAAAAAGTTAAGTATTTTAACTTGCTATTAACAATTTAGGAAATTGTTAATATTGAGTACAGTCTGGGGCACGGGGGGCTCCACCCAGGATGCCAAACATGTTAGGATCGCCCCAGGACAGAAGGTCTACTTTGAAACTCTTTACAAAGTCAGTCACAAAGTCAGATTTTAGGCCGGATCAATAGCTGATCAGATTATTAATCTTCTGTCACAGTAAATTTAATATTTAAAGTGAAAACCATAAAATGGCTTTAAAATGTGCAAAACTTATTATTATTTTGATACTGTTTTCCTGTTTACTGAATGAAATTGTCAAATATGCAAAAATAAATAAATTGGTGCCTCAAAAGTAACTAAAATGATTTGAGCTCAATAGCAGTTTACTCACAACCTTAAACAGAAAATGGGTTTGCATTTCATGTTGATTCACCTCCTCAATTGTTGAGGAGCATTTGTGTGTTTGGTTTCTTCGAGTTGGGATACTCAAGTTATACGACTTACATTGGCAGAAAAATATTTTGGAGCACTGCAGATTGTGCAATTGGGGAAAATAAATCTTGTGACTATGACCCAAGAACAAATGAACAACGGAGACTCAAAAGAAACTAAAATAATTTGATGTTTTGTTAAAAAAACAGAGTAAATCTTACACAGAAATGAGCTCTGTTTTCTTTGTGTCACTAAATTAAAAAACAAAAATACTTACTTTGATCGTTTTCCATCGTTTAGTTGAACGTTCACGTCTCTGAAAGTCTGACTTTCTCTTGTAAATGAATCGATACAACTGTGAGAATTCAGAGAACTCCTCTCTTATTGACAAAAGTTCCAAAAGCGCCTGATGACACATCAGACTATGTGACATTAGAATATTAAGCAGAACCGTTCCGCATATAATTAACTCCTGGGCTTTGTGAGAATATTTTAAAACCAATTTTAGATAATGCTACAGCAAAAATTTATTCAACTCGTACTTATCAAACTTAGATGGTTTCTTTAAATTTGTCTTCAAATCAGACAAAAATGATTAATCCTAAATTTTTGTAGCTGGTTTGTGTAGCAATTATTTTTGTATGTGCTGCTATCATTTGAACAATATTAAGAAATGTTTCCAGAGGAAACAAACTTTTGAAGGAAGTTTGTTTTTGCCTGTTTGCCTGTTGAAAAATGGAATCATTTGAAATTACTGACAGATCCATAAGAAAATATTGCTTTATTCATTTAATTATTAAATAATGTACACTGTGTTGGGTCTTGGTTCAACAGGCTTTGTGCAATTATTTCAATATATTTTAATAAATGTAGAACCAATCCGACCCTCGGCTTGCAGCTAATTAGTTTTTTGGGCCCTCTGTGTATTTGACTTAGACATCCCTGATCATCTTGGTTACAGAACAGAGAGCGAACACATGTCTTCTTTCACTAGGAGCCTAGAGAGATATAGAACAACCCAATGACTTCATTGTAATGCTGAGGCCAGAGAAACTAAACCCTTTCAGAAGCCTGTTACCATTGGCTCAAAGTCTCAACAAAGCGGGAGACCATGCAGTGGCTCAAGTGCATAAAAAGGAATGTTTATTAAGAGAAAAAACAATGGATTATGAATGTCAGTATCAGTAGTGTGATGCAAAAGCTTAGATGTGTTTAATGAGTGCATTTGGAACAGTTGAAGTGCAAAAACAAAGACGACTCAAATGTGCAAAAGGAGAAGAGCTGAGGCCTGGCAACAAAACCCTACAGCAGTCAAGCAGCAGAGTGAACACTGAAGGTGACCCAGAGAGTGGAGATAGCCAGGTTCAAATACTCTGCGCTCCAAATCAACGGATCAGCAACACCTGCAAAGAGGAGGAGCACAAAGACAGAGAAAAGCAATACCCACAGCCCAGCCCTTAAGGCCCTGGGCCATAACAAACCTTTTCTCTGAGCTCATGCATCACACAAGAATCATAATACTGCTATGCATAGCTTCAGTTAATAATCATAGCAACCTTAAAATGTTCCCACTACAGGAGGTTTAATGCTTTTAAACTTTTACCTTCACCTGACAGAACAGGGCAGTCCAAGGACTTGAACCTTGTCCACAATGTTAAGTTCCAATAACGAGTGCCTTTGCTTTTTTTGTGCTATGTTACAAGGTAAAGCAAAACCTGCATTAAGAACAGCTTCAAAGATTTAAATTACTTTTTAATCATTATTCAAATTAAAAAATACATTATTGATCCCAAAGGTCTAACTAGATAATATCAATACAAATAAATAATATTCCAGTTGCTAAAGTGTTACTTTTCCATTATTACTTTGGGTGTGTATCAAGCAGTTTAGCTGTCCAACTTTCATAAATGCTATTTCACTGCAAGAAACGAAACCTCACGACAAATTACCCATGATAATGGGTAAACTCATTTTCACAATATTATCATCTGTTAAAATAAAAACAACTTTCCGAGAACACTCCTTAAAATACATGTTGGTGAAATACGTGCTCAGGAAGTGGTCTGTACACCACTTCCTGAGCACGGGATGACAGTCTGATACAGCCACAGGAGTGTGGTCCCTCTACAAGATAAAAAATTTAATTATTAAGATATCTCTTAATCTCCATCTCACTGTCCTACAAAGCCATTGTTACTCGTGTCAGTGTTCTGTGCCTCGGGCATCTTATAATTATTTTTGTTTATTTTACTTTTCTGGATCGTTTTGTATTGACTTTAGTTGAATGATTTTTCTTTTGTTTAATACTTTGGAGTTTTGATAATTCCTTTCTTGTAATTTGATCTTGTTAATTTGTGGCTGTTGGACCACCTATAAATAGGCTGGGTTGTGCCAGGTAAAGCGATGACCACCACCGAGGAAGCGTTCTAACACGGTGTGCATGTCTCTAGTCGCACCTGACGTCTCCAGCCTGCCATCCGGTATTTTTTATTAGCTCTTTGTTTGTTTGCTGTTCTTTTTTTGTTGTGATTTTGGCCTGGTAGGAACGATTGTCCTGTTTCGATTTTGCTATGAGCCTCTATTCCTCTTTTTGTGCAGCTGTACCAAAACGAAACCTTCGTTTATCAATAAATGGATATTATGATACTAATGGGGAACCAACAGTATCACAGAGAGTTCGGTTTATGATGCAAGCTTTTTTTCTTTTTAGCTTTTATGTTTGTCATCTGCTGATTAATGCATACATTTAAACAATTGTATTTTTCTCCATCTTGGGCCAGGGGGAGGCGAAAGAAACGCCCAATGAACAGGCTGTGTGAAGGTTTTACACAATGAGATGAGTACATTTCAAAAAAATATATTAATTTATTACAAAAAATCCAAAAATAATTTCAAAATGATAAACTGGGCCCAAAATTGAGGTCAACATAACAAACTACAACTCAGGTAGTAACACAAAAGAACTCAAACAAAACTGACCTAACTAACAAGACATGAAGGGAACTTAAATAGTGGCTGATCAAACCACGACTAAACCCAAAAGAGATAATTAAACACACAAAAAACAGACAAATACTGACAAACATTACTAAATATTTAAATTAAGTAAATATTAGAACTGAACTAACTTTCAGAAAAACAAACAATAAAGAAATGATTAAACTAAATTGAAAGACCAAATTTCCCTTCCCCTGGTGAGCAGATGGAACGACCCACTGGGAAGTTGACAGCCAGTGGCCATCAGCTGGAAATCATCTTAATTCCATCCGTAGCTCCAGGGGAAACTGGTAAAGTCAAACAAAAGAAATTCAGTGCATTTAACAAAAACTACAAAGAACTGACAAATAAAGTTAACTAAATGGGTGCACTACAAATAGTCAACTAAATTGGTCAAATGAATGAAAACAAATTTAAAGATACAAATCTAAACTATTCAAACAAATATGTAAAGTAATATTAAGGAAGAACAGAAAACAATTACACTTACTCTGTGACAGCAGGGACAGCTGTCAGGCTGATTGGAGATAGTGACCAGGAAGACGATGATATGCTTTTTGATATGAAAGAGGAGATGGTCACCCTGATGCAATGTCGTGGGATCATCTTTGCTCTAAATACTCTCCTTCCACAAACAATCAATTTGAAAGGGTTGTAAAAAGTCTATTTTTTATGTTATGTCACTGTAGCTGAGGCTGCTCTTAATTTGTAGGACGGTTTAAAGGCACTGTTCAGGTTTGTCACTGCTCTCAACCTGGAGTGTCTGTCAGAACACTACTTAGACTGGATTCAGTTCAGGACCAGATGTGGTGCAGCAGGTGGAAGAAGGAAGACATGAGGCAGGAAACCTTTTACTTTCTGTATTCCAAGTCGGGTCACAGATCTTAGTCCAACAACAGAAATTGGCATCAAGGTGTATTTGGTGAGTGCTTCAGGTATGTGTCTAGGTGTGTGTGGTCTCCTAGAATAAACAGAAATACAGAAATAAGTTTCAGGTGTTCTATCATTACACATTACACCATACTATTACACCTTAGATAAACTAAGAAGTAAATAGATAAAGCCTAAACAAGCTTAATATCAGAATCACTATTCATAAGCGAACTAAAACAAATGAACTAATATCAATGCCTGTGGGCCTGTCAAGTACATCGCTCAGTGCTCTACAACACACATATAGCCGATAGCTCGGACCTAACGGTAAATAACGGTTAACGAATAAACTCTGAATCACTCATTTAACTTCAGTAAACAATCATGTTGGATTCACTCCTTCTCCGTTCCGTTAGAGGGCGCTGTAGTTGCTTCGCGTCAGTTAAGGGAGAGAAGAAACTTACAGCAGAAAAGTAACGGCACAGAGATCGCCGTTAGCTGCAGCTAACGGTATTATTGACTACAAACGGATATTTAATCGACGTTTATGAGTGTTGCCCAACGTGTTTAACCGGCATGTCCGTGTAAAGCACGAGGCAATAAAACAAATAACAACAACAAAAACAACGACTACCTTATGTTCTTTGTAACATAAAGTTAAACACGGTGGCATCATGTCTGAAACTAAAGAATCCGCGGGAGAAATAGACATTGCTGCGCTAAAGAGGAAGAGAGGACAAGCTAAAGCAGCCGTAACTAAGATGATGACATCAGCGAACGAAAAAATTAGAGAAAACAAGCCAGAAGAATTGAAGTCAGTGCTAGAGAGCCTCGACTTAGCCCTTGCACATCTTCAGGAGGTACATAAATGTTATCATTCTCGGCTCACTGATGACATCGACAGAGAAGAGTCTGATGCTTATGAGAGACTTATTATAATGAACGTTCACGATGTGCGTCATGAAGCTCTAGCCTGGCTGCAAGAAAAAGAAGATGGAGCTAGTGTGCATTCATATGTTAATGATGAGCTAGATGTTACTACACAAGCCATGTTCAGCGAGCCTCCAGCTGATATAAATGATGAAGATTCCGCAGCAGCAGAACTAGAGAAAATCCAAGCCCTAAGAAAGAAAGAGAAGGAAAACTTTGAGCTGTTGCTTAGACGTAACAAAGAGGAATTTGAGTTGGAACTTCAGCGACTACATCACAAAGCTGAGCTGGATGCACAGATGCAACACAATCAGCAAAAGATGCAAGCCTTCACAGCAGATCTCCATTCTACGCCGAAAATTGGCAAAATTCCTACGACACAACAACCCTCGCCATTCCAGATGGCAATGATTCGATTTCACAACTGCTAGAGTTCTCAAGGCAGCATTATCAATCACAAGTTGACACTCTCAGGCTCCCACCAACTGATCTAATCAAGTTTGACGGTGAACCCCTTCAGTATTGGAAGTTCATGAGGCTTTTCACCACTATGGTGGACAAAGAGTCCATTTCTGCTGAAGAAAAGTTAACTCGTCTGCACCAGTACACAGAAGGGAAGGCTCGAGATGCTATTAGTCACTGTCTATACAATTCTGATCCCAACGCAGGTTTCAAAGAAGCACTAGACCGACTAAAATCAAGATTTGGAAATCCTCATTCCATTTCTCAAGCTTGGGTTGAAAAGGTTTTGAACTTTAAAGAGATAAGAGACAATCTGCAACTCAGAGACTTCGCAGACCTGCTGAGAGGCTGTAAAGACACGCTTGCTGCAATGAAATGTGAGGAAGAGCTCAGCGGCCGCAGCACATTATTTGAGATAATTAGCAAGCTACCATCAGATCTCAGGGCCAAGTGGCTAAATAAAAACTATGACATCACAAAGATAGGACGTCTACCGAAACTTAATGACGTCGTGAACTTTGTGGAGACAGAAGCTGAAAAGAGATCTGATCCAGTCTTTGGTGGGCTAATTGGCTTCAAGAAATATGAGAAACCAAACAACTTTACATCACCTACCAAAGTCTCAAAGAAACATCGTCAAAGCTACCCCACCACTGTCAAAGCCGCTGCTGTCTGTGAAAGTAAGTCTGCACGCACCAAACAGCCAGCTTATTTAAAATGTCTTAAATGCTCAGAACAGCATTTCTTAAACCAGTGCCCAGGCTTCCGATCACTAACGGTGCCAGAGCGCCTGGTGTTTGTTCAAGAAAAAAACCTGTGTCAAAACTGTTTCATGATTGGGCACAGTGCTGAGATTTGCACGCGCTGGGTGTGCAACGTGCCTGGCTGTGGACAGAAACACAATAAATGGCTGCATCCTAACCACACTAACAGACAGGAGACAGCAGCAGGCCAGGACAGCACTGATGACACTAAAACTACCCAAAGAACGCAACCTAGCAGATCACCTAATGTCACATGTGGATTCGCTGGAGCTGCAAATGGTAAAGTTTGTTTACCTATAGTTCCTGTGGTCGTTAGGGGTAAAGCTACAAACATCAGTTCTGTTACATATGCATTACTCGATCCTGGCGCCAATACCAGTTTAGTGTCAGAAGAGCTGACCAAGAAGCTAAAGGTCAAAGGCAAGCCTGCAAGATTAGACCTTGACACGGTAGGAGGAAGCCAAGAAGGCTTATTCACTCAAAGTGTGGATCTTGAGATTGACTCTGCATGATGGCAGCACCTACACACTTAATGGTGTGAGAACACTTAAGAAATTAAACATTGGACTTAGCTGTCTTGCGACACCAGACGAGGCAGCCAGATGGGATCACCTAGCAGATATCCCTATTCCCAGCATCAAGTCCAACGATGTGCACCTTGTCATTGGACAAGATGCTCCTCGTCTCCTTAGAGCTGAAGAGTACCGCGTAGGAGGTGATAATGACCCTTGCGCCAGCAGAACAGTACTCGGCTGGGCCATCAATGGTCCCATTGATCACAAAGAAGTTAGGAAGGTTAAGACTTACTTCCTCAAGTCAGATCAAAATCTACGAACACAGGAGGAAAGGTTTTGGAAAATTGACGACCCTGCTCCAGAGAACAATCTGTCAATAAATGACCACAAGGTGATTAAACTGTGGGAAAACTCAGTTACCAAAGATGGCTCATTATACCTTAGACATACCTTTTAAGAACAAAGCAGTGACACTACCTAACAATATCAATTTAGCGACACGGAGACTACAACTACTGGAACGCAGATTAACAAAGGACCCAAACCTGAAAGACAAGTATGTTAAAGCAATGAAGTCAACTATTGATAAAGGATATGCAGAAGAAGTACCAGCTTTGTCGCCTGATCACAATGAGGGCAAAGTTTGGTACCTCCCACATCACGCAGTAACTCATCCTCGCAAGCCTGAAAAGGTGCGAGTCGTTTTTGACTGCGCAGCAAAGTATGACGGAGTATCTCTCAATGATGTCGTCCATCAGGGCCCAGATCTAACAAACAAATTAATAAACGTGTTGATCCGTTTCCGACAAGGTCCAGTTGCTGTAATGGCAGACATTGAGGGCATGTTCAATCAGATACATGTAACTCCAGAACACAGAAATGTGCTAAGATTCCTCTGGTGGAAGGACCACAATCCTAATAATGAGGTAGTTACTTACCGGATGACATCCCACCTTTTTGGTGGAGTGTGGTCTCCAAGTGCAGCAAGTTTTGCATTAAAGAAGTGTGCATCAGATCATGCACATCTGTACGATGCAGATACCATCTCCACTGTTGAAAGAAACTTCTACGTAGATGATTGCCTGAAATCCTCAGACTCACCTCAACAGGCCATCCGTCTAGCGGCACAGCTGATCGACCTACTCATGCATGGTGGGTTTCGCCTGACAAAATGGACTAGCAATTCAACTGAGGTTCTACAGTCTATCCCGCCTGAGGAGCATGCAAATCAACTACCATTGTTGGACCTGGATGGAGATTTGTCTTTGGAGAGAGCTCTGGGAGTGTTTTGGGACATAGCAGATGACTGCATCACCTTCATCATCAAGGTCAGGAACAAACCCAACACAAAAAGAGGCATGCTAAGCACAATAAGCTCAGTTTATGATCCCCTGGGGTTAGTTGGCCCATTCATTTTACGGGGAAAGGCACTGTTCCAGGCGCTATGTCGCTTGAAGCTAAGTTGGGATGAAGCTATCCCAAATGACATTGCTGAGCAATGGGGCCGGTGGTTAGATGACCTACCAAAACTCTGCAGACTGCGGGTGCCCCGATGTCTCAGACCTGAAGGTTTCACTGCAGCTTCAGTCACCATGCAACTTCATCACTTCTGTGATGCTTCAGAGTTAGGTTATGGTGCTGTTAGCTACCTTAGGGTTGTAAGCAACGATAACATCTACTGTAATATTCTCTCTAGGAATAGGCTGGCTCCTGTTAAACCAAGCACTATTCCAAGATTAGAACTGGCAGCCGCTGTAGTAGCAGTACAGCTTGATCAAAAAATCCATCAAAGCTTTGAGCTACTACCCCTTCTAGATTCTGTCTTCTGGACAGACAGCACTATTGTCCTACATTACATCAGAAACGAAGAAAAACGGTACCAAACTTTGTTGCAAATAGAGTTTCACAAATCCGTGAAGTCTCACAAGCCTCACAATGGAACATGTTTGCACAGAACTAAACCCTGCAGATGATGTTTCAAGGGGACTGTCTGCTGAGGAACTTACAAACAGTGAGCGTTGGCTCAAAGGCCCTGCCTTCCTGTGGCAAGAAGAAGAATTATGGCCTTGCCAGCCTGATCTAGGAAGCTTACCTCCGGAAGCAGAGGTAAAGAAGTCAAGTCAGACATATGCAATGTCTTCTAAGCTCACCATTCAATCAGCAATTGACTGTTTCATTCAGAGGTATTCCTCCTGGTACAACTCAAACGAGCTATTGTACTGATCCTACGAGCTAAGAATATCCTTCTGAAGAAGTATGAACGCAAGCTAAGTGATCCAATAACACCAAAATGAAATGAAACTGGCAGAGATTTCCATCATTGAATACGCTCAGCGCACCCACTTGACTGGTCCAATGAAAGGAGAAAGCATCAAGAAGTTAGCTCCAGTACGACTCAGTGATGATTACTCCGTGTCGGAGGAAGACTCACCAATGCTCCAATAACTGAAGCGGCAAAAACCCTGCAATTTTGCCTCGAAATCACCATATTACCAAACTTATCATTTGGCATTTTCACAAGCTCACAGGTCATTCTGGAGTTGAAAGGGTGCTTGCTGATATCAGACAATTCTTTTGGATTGTCAGAGGCCGCGCATCTGTGAAGCAAGTTCTAGCACAGTGTGTACCTTGCAAAAGACAAAAGGCTCCAATCAGTACTCAGTACATGGCTGATTTGCCCATTGATCATGTGACTCCATGTAAGCCGCCTTTCGCTCACGTCGGAATTGATTACTTTGGACCCATTACCATCAAAAGAGTACGGAGTGAGGTGAAGAGATATGGATGTCTATTCACTTGCCTAACTACCAGAGCTGTCCACTTGGAGGTGGCACACAGCTTGGACACAGAATCATTTATCAACGCTCTTCAGCGATTCATGGCTCGTCGTGGGACACCCCAACTGATACGTTCGGACAATGGGACGAACTTTGTTGGTGCTCGTCATGACTGCGGAAGGCTCTGGAAGGATGGAACCAGCAAAAGATCGAGGATCATCTACTCCAGCGAGAAACTCAATGGAAGTTTAATCCTCCCGCCGCCTCGCATATGGGGGTGTATGGAGAGACAAATCCGTTCTGTGCGCTCATTCTCATGAGCGTTGCAGGACAACAGACTCTGGATGATGAAGGACTAATGACACTTTTCTGTATCATTGAAAACATCGTCAATGGGAGACCACTAACAAAGTTGTCAGATGACCCAAGAGATGGTCAACCTTTGACCCCCAATGACTTGCTTCTGCTGAGATCAGAGTGTGCTCTGCTCCTGGTCTTTTGTAAAGCAGATCTGTATCGTCGACGCTGGCGCCAAATCCAGTACTTGGCAGACATTTTCTGGGTTCGGTGGGTAAAGGAGTACCTACCCAGCCTGCAACAACGGCAGAAGTGGAACCACCATTCCAGAAACTATCAAATCGGAGATCTTGTGCTGATTCTGCACGAATGCACTCCTCGCAATAAGTGGCCTCTTGTTTTGGTTACTGATGTAAACATCGGAGCTGATGGTTTGGTGTGATCAGTGCAAGTAAAGACTCATAGAGGCATTTATACCCGTCCAATACACAAGTTGTGTTTTGTTAGGAGGAAATATGGACAAGTAGATTTACTTACCTCAGAGTGTTTGAGTTTTCTATATGTTAAAGATAATTTTCACTATCTTATGTTCATGATTACTGTAACAAGTAGTCTTAAAAAAAAAAAAAAAAACTTCCTTTCAGAAAAGTTTGTTATTGCAAAGTGGATATTACATAGTCATATACAGTTGTTAAGTTTAACTTGTCGTTCACCAATTTTCTGAGATGAACATCTGTAGAGTTCATCGGGGCCGGGATGTTGGATTCACTCCTTCTCCGTTCCGTTAGAGGGCGCTGTAGTTGCTTCGCGTCAGTTAAGGGAGAGAAGAAACTTACGGCAGAAAAAGTAACGGCACAGAGATCGCCGTTAGCCGCAGCTAACGGTATTATTGACTACAAAACGGATATTTAATCGACGTTTATGAGTGTTGCCCAACGTGTTTAACCGGCATGTCCGTGTAAAGCACGAGGCAATAAAACAAATAACAACAACAAAAACAACGACTACCTTATGTTCTTTGTAACAAATCAAATATCGTAACTTACTTGTCACTAACGCACACTTATAAGGCGAACACACATATTCTGCCCCTCTCACGTATTAGCACAGTGGCTCTGTTACCCCACCTCCCCCTGCGATATCTTACGGCGATGTGATGACGTCTTCGCCGCCCCAACTACGGTATGCCCTAAGTGGCAAAAGTAACGCTGAACAGTAATTACTACGAACAGTAGTAGTTAACAAACTTAGATTATTTAAGGGGTCTTTTGAACAGTCACTGTCTATCATCTTCTGCTCATGTTCCTCAGGATGTACCTGCCTACTTTCTGCTCTGCATTTGCAATCTCCAGTCACTTGTTCCACTACCTCTAGTGGATATGGTAGGTTTTCTCTTCCTAACTTTAATTCTGAATATAACGCCAAACGTATCATATGTGATACATGAGTTTTTGAGACCTCCAAATGAGCAATGTGACATTTTTTTCCTTAAAAAACCCGATGTATACAATTAGACACATGTAGTGCACTGATAATCCAACAGGGGGTAGTAACTTTCTCACCAGAGGCCTTTCCACTGATACTACAAGACTGCCATGGCAAAGGACTGGGACACAACTGAAGAAAAAGGGAAGAGGGTCACTGGATTTCAGAGTAATCCAGGAAAACAACATCATTGTGAGATGGTCTGACAACAAAGCTGTGAACCTGCTCTCTTCCTTTGTTGGTGTTGAACCTCTGGGCAGTGTGAAGCGTTGGGATCGAAAAGCCAAAACCCACATAATGGTTCCCAGACCGGCCATTGTTGACACTTACAACAGGTTCATGGGAGGCATTGACCTTCTAGATATGCTTTCTGCTCTGTACAAGTTCAGCTTCAGATCCCGAAGATGGTACATCTACATTTGGTGGCACACCATCACAGTGGCAGTAATAAATGCATGGATCCGCTACACAAGTGCACGAAAGGTCAAAAAGTGTGGCAGACCTTTGTCCTCTCCGGAAGCAACGCCAGCCCCTCCTAGGAGAAGGAAAACCACTGAGTTGCCCCCTGATGTGAGAAAGGACGGCCTCAATCATTTCCCAACATGGGAAACCCGACAGAGATGCAAGCACTGTGTGGGCCACTTTTCCTATGTGTTCTGTGAGAAATGCAGAGTGCATCTTTGTCTGAACAAGGACAGAAACTGTTTCCAAGCCTATCATAATGCAAAATAAAACGTTTTTTCTACACATCTTGTGAACCACAATATGTATAGAAAATAACTGAAATGTTATGTTTTCCTCTGGTGGATTTGTTATTGCTGCATTATTGTAGCACTTTTTATGTTTGGAATTAACAATTTATCTGAGTTATTTGTGTTTTATTATGTTTTTATTTGTTCAAGAAAGAATAATCTTTGAGCATTGTGACCCAATGTATCAAATATGATACAAAATGAAACTCATATATGGAAAATGATATTTGAAAAAAATTTTGTGTGTTCAGAGGGACCAATAAAGGCTCCAGTTTCAAAGAATTGGAATCTTCTGTCAGTTATTTCATGGTGTGGGCTTTACAGGGTTAAGCGGTTATTTTAGTCCATGGTCAAGCGAGGCGCATGGCAATGAGACGGAGTTGGGTCATGGAGAGAAGGGCATGACTTTGTGTCCACGAAGCACCTATAGAGGGGACCTTCACCTGTCCTAAACCCCCCCCCCCCCCGGCCTCCCAAAAAATGATTGAACAAGAAATGCGGAAAGAGGTGTGGAATAAGAAAGAATTCTCGCTGAGGCAGAAATTGGAGCGCGGTACGCAACACCACGGGGCAACATCGGGGACTGATGTTCTGACGGGGCTTCAAATTGAAGAACCTCGAGCGAACGGCACAAAAGGATGATTGTAACTACGAAGGGATTACCGTGAGTGCTTTTAGGTATCGGCCGCACGACGGAGGAGTTGGATCTTTTTCAACATTAACGACAGCGGCGGTCCGACTTGGTTGTGAGCTGCCATATTATCAGGAAACGGAAGGCTTGGTTTATGGGGTTGTGCTTTGAGTTTGACTGCAACTGCTACTGCAGTAATTACGCAGAGCCGTGATAAACAAGAGCGACCAAAAGACAAACAATACATACATAAATAACAAATTCAAATCAAACATTTTAACATTAGCACAACTATGAAAACAAAACAACCCAACACCATAAATGTTTTAGCAGTTATGCTATTAGTAGAGCGAGAGGAAGAATCTTCAACATCAAGTCCCTGGTTTCCAGCAACCTGATGGTTTGTTCCATTTCCTGGTTTGCCTTAAACCAATCATCTTCTCCTCATCAGTCCTTCAAAATCAGCAAAAACAACAAATAGTTAATGATCTAAATAAACATAAGGTGTTTACTAAATGTGTGCACCCAATTTAGTAAACAGCCTAATACAAAACCCACCACCAAAGAAAAAGTAAAATCAATGTAAAAACATTTAATCTTGTAACATCTAAACAATTTTAATATTTAAAATATTTTTGTCATCATTATTTCACGTCACAACTTCCAATGTGCGACACCCGCCACTGCCAGTGTGCGGTTTCCTGAACTTTTTGACCCCAGGTAAGCCAATGTGACGGAGGAGCCGTCACGATCGGAGAGTCCCTGTTAGCAAACATGCACAATTATAAACTTACCTGTTTCTTTTCCTTTTAGTTTGGATTGAGGCGATTCATTGTGGGTGCACACGCGGTGTTTTCGTTTGACGTTCATTCTAATCGGTTATTTTCAGGTACATGTTTTTCCGGTTTTCTTTGGGGGAAGTTGTTTCCAGCTTGGAGCGCACCGGGAGCCAATTACGTGATGTGTAGTCATCACAATGTGCTGTGTTGATTTTTAACTCATCTTGGACATTTTTGTAAATATTATGCATTTGCCACTGTTGATTCACTGCACTGATAAAAAAATAAATCTCACTAAAGTAATCCCTGGCCTTGGCCCGTCATTTTTTTGTGGTGGCCCAAGTCATAAAAGAACCCCGTCACAGCCAACTATGGAGAATTCAAAGAAAAGTGTCTGAAGAAAACAGGACGTTCAATGCTACATGGGCAGACTCATTTGCTTTCACTGCTGACGAGACTGGTTTACCAGTGTGCTTAATATGAGAAACTAGCTAACAACAAAAAGTCAAATGTCTCAAGACATTTTCAGAACACGCAGCCTTTGCTTAAAAATATCCGGATGGAGAGGAGTGAAAAAAAGCTGTTTCGGAATTGATCTGAGCAAAAATCACTTCAAGAAGAGGATGAAGTCAGCAAATTCAAGTGCATATGCTAGTTTTGTTGCCGCTCAGGAAATGAAGAGGCACGGGAAGTCGTTCACAGATGGAGAAAATATGAAAGAATCTTTCATTAAGACTTCAGAACATCTATTCAGGGACTTTAAAGAGTGAAAATCAGGGATATGCCCCTCTCATTTTTATGGATCAAAGACAAAACCATAAAAATGGCAGAAGACATCACCAGACAGCAAATTATAGATATCAATTCATTTTGTGAAAATGAAAGTGTTCACGAAAGTGTTTTTCATGCTTTCGTTCATGTCATAAAGTTTTCGTTCATGTTGTAACGCTTTCGGTCATTTTAACGCTTTCATTCATGTCGTAAAGTTTTCGTTCATGTCATAGCGCTTTCGTTCATGTAGTAGTGCTTCTGTAATTTGTAATTGTGCTTTCAATTTGCTGAAGTGGTTTGCACATCAGGGCCACTGTAATCAATTTACCAATGTAACACATTTTCATTACAAACTAACTTCCAGTGTCAGATTAATAATCATAAAAAAGTAATAAAAAGAGTGAAATCAATATATTTGTAAATATATTGTGTTTCACTATAATCTTTTAACCATGACTGAAAAATAAAGCAATTTAAAATGAAAATAACTGAAACTATAAATAACATAGGAAATAGCGCTGCGATTTCCAAATATGTATGCCCTCCAAATGATAACAGCAGAAAATTTTCATTTCTCCTGTTATCATTTTAAAGATAATCAGAAATGTTTCCGGGACTTCCGGTGACGCCATGAAAGGAGAAGCAGCCTGGATTACCCTACTCCGAGGAAAGTCTCAAAAAAACTAGCTTATCTGACGATACAACATAATTTAGAACAACTCCACTAATTACAAAAATGTATACTCTAAGAAAAGAAGCAGATAATAAAAATTAAACGACTTCGCGGAAAGAAACTTGCCAACTTCCAGAAACTTGCCAACTTCCAGAAACTACAACGGTCGTGAGCGAACAGAAAGACAACATGGAGATCGTGCTTGCAGAGCTAATACAACTGAGAAAGGAACACGCGGATGCTTCACACGATACTAAAGTCACTTTGTCAAGGGTTGAATGATCATTGAAAGACGTGCTTGAAAGAACGACGAAACTGGAGCGGCAAATTATCGACACCAACCAAAGAGTGAGTGACGCTGAGGGTCCGCTGCTCCGCCATGACCGCGTGCAGCGCTACAGAGAGAAGCTAATTTCTCAGCTAAATGTAAAGACCTCAAGTCAAGAGCGAGGCGTACTAATCTACGCAAGTACGAGATACCTGAAGGAGAAGAAAACGACACGATCTCCTTCCTGACTGACTTGATGCGCACCTCACTCAAACTACCGTAAGATATGAATCTTAATATAGAGAGGGCGCACCGGTCGCTAAATAGGAAGCTAAAGACTCCGTTCCCACGGTAAATCATCGTCAGGTTTCCAACTAAAGAGTGAAAGAAAAAGTAATACAGACGGCGTGGAGTAGACCTGACGTTACCCACCACGGCCAAAGGATATACTAAGACCAAGATTACACCACGAAAATATAGAAGAAACGCAAACAGGTACGAGAAGTTATCAAGCAACTTAAAGATAAAAATTTGAGCGCACTTTCCCTGCCCAATTGAAAATCCACCTGTACTCCGGTGTGAAGACCTTTGCAACACTTACTGGAGCAGCCTCAACACTTGAGAAGATGGGAATTGAGGTCAAGATAGATGAGCGTTAGAGATACCAAGAGGAACTGCAGGGTGAATTTCTGGCCCATGGTGCCAGGAAAAGCAGGCGAAACGATGCTGACTGTAACAGACATGCAGGCGCTTTTACAAGCTAATAATGAAATCAAGAATTTAGGAGTAATATTTGGACGATTAAACTTGATCTCAAACTATCATATTTTGGATAAAATGACTTGAAAGTAGGCTAGTTTAGTAAAATATGATACATTTCTGAATAGCAGGTAATTTCCTCACCATGGGAGCAGTAGGATGATTCATTTGATTTATTTTATGTCCGGAAAAGATTTAAAAATTTGAACAAAAAGAATTTTATTTTATTTTCGAAAGTTTATAATAGCTATTCAAGGATAGATTTCTTCTGCATACCTCAAAAATACTTTATTTTTTATTTTATTTATAGTATTGAATCAATTACTCTGAGTGACCATGCTCCAGTTATCCTACAGCTAAACTTAAGTAAGGACATCCCCTTTAGATACTGGAGACTAAACGTATCATTACTCTTCAACACATTAGTGATTCAGGAACTGAGACAACATCTTGAATATTTAGAGATAAACGACAATGGATCAGTAATTCCACCTATGATGTGGAGTGGAGCGAAGGCAGTATTAAGAGGAAAAATTATACAGATATTTTCTACACTTAAACAATTCATGGAAGAACAAAGAAGACTTGAAAATAAAATAAAACAACTAGAAATTGAACATAAGCACAGAGGAGGAGATGACACTCTAAAGGAACTAAAAGAGACTAGAAAAGAGTTTGATGTAGTTCTCACATACAAAGCAGAGGGAGCACTAAGATTCTCCAAAGATTCTAAGAGATGGGGAAATGGAGCCAGTCGACTGTTATCCTTCCATCTTCGAAAAACACAATCAGACAGAATAATACACAAAATAATAGAACCCTCACTTAAAACAACTCTATTTCATCCAATAGAAACCAACCAAGAATCAATGCTAATTAGTTTTGATGCACAAAAAGCATTTGATGCAGTTAATTGGCAATTTTCATACAACACCTTGTTACTATGAGCTTCCATCCAGGATTTCCGGAATGGATAAAAATAATATACACATCCTAAATCACGAGTTAGAGTTAATGCATTTTGCTCCAACTTATTAATGCTTGAAAGAGGGGTTTGTCAAGGAGGAGATTGTCTTAGTCCCCTACAATTTGTGTTGAACATCGAACCTCTGGCAGCAGCGATTAGAATGAACAAACATATTAAAGGTATGAGAGATAAAAATAATATGGAACACAAGATTTCACTTTTTGCTGAT